TTTGTGACGTACGATTCATGCTGTTGTATGCAACATTCCATCTTGGCTCTGCACGTTCCGACTTGGCGTGCTTTTTTCCTCCATCACAAAATATTTCAGTGAAGCATTTACAGTGTTTAGTTTTGCACTTCTTTTGTACCATCGGTACATCCTTTTGTCTAGATTAAATTGTTCTTAGGCAATAATCGATGCTTAGTCCGATTCTTAAGTCACTCGACTTCAAAGTGTCGTGACCCAGACTATCAGCCCAGCACCACCATGAATATTTATTTTTCTGAAGTATTTTTCAGTACTCAAACTTGACAGAGGGTTCCATGGAGGTTGTCTCACCGTCGAATGACCGTAGGCAAGCCGTCGCGGTTACAGCTTGCTGCTTGATCAGGTTTTTAGATCCTTCAGTAGGTAGTATTTTCAATTGATCCAAAAGAATAAATTATTAGAAATTGAGAACTAACGTCATAGCTCTCATCAATTTCGGTGTTTAATTTACGGCACCTAAATAGCTGATTAAATGTGAAATTATGATTCCAAGATGACAAATTATACATCTTTAAGATAGTCTATTAAGCAAACCTTGCCACTGGGCGTGTTGCCTAACATCAAAGGGGTTCAGAAAGCAGGAACTTGTGGCAGAAATTCGGCAGCACACGCAGAAGATTTATCGGCGGAGTTTTTACTTTCTTCTATGGCTAATTTGACTGTTCGTGTCTTGTTCACGCAATAAAAGTTTCCTAAATACATTGTTAAAACACCTAGTACATAATATAATAAAGAACTGCGACAGTCGGAACTGTTATTTGAAACTAGGTAGCAGTTCTCGGAGCTTCGCAAAAGCACGGTCACAGGCTGGAGACCACGCAGATGGATTGCGGTCTCCCTTAAGTAGTTCTGTCAGAGGTGCTATGATCGAGGCGAAATCCCGGACGAAGCGGCGGAAGTATGAGCAAAGCCCAATTAAACTACGCAGCTCCTTGAGAGACGCGGGCCTCGGGAACTCGCTAACAGCACGTAGCTTAGCGGGGTCAGGGAAAACGCCATCCTTCGACACGACGTGTCCGAGAATGGTCAGCTTGCGTGCTCCAAAGTGACACTTCTTGAAGTTTAGTTGCAGGCCAGCTGCAAAAAGACAGCGTAGAACCTGTTCCAAGCGACGAAGGCGCGTGGGAAAATCGGGCGAGAACACCACCACATCATCTAAGTAGCACAAACACGTGTTCCATTTGAGGCCTCGTAAGATAGTGTCCATCATGCGCTCAAATGTTGCCAGCGCATTGTATAGGCCGAATGGCATCATGTTAAATTCGTATAAGCCGTCTGGTGTAATAAAGGCAGTTTTTGGTTTATTATCCGGATTCATGGGCACTTGCCAATAACCAGAGCGTAGATCAAGGGAGGAAAAGAACTCTGCGCCTTGAAAAAGAGTCGAGGGCGTCATTGATCCGAGGCAAAGGATACACATCCTTTCGTGTTATTTTGTTTAGGCGACGATAATCTACGCAAAAGCGTATTGTGCCATCCTTCTTTTTAACTAAAACAACCGGCGACGCCCAAGGACTGTTTGATAGTTGAACGACGCCGCGCTTTAGCATGTCACCTACTTGGTCATCGATGACATAGCGTTCCGTCGGCGAAACACGGTACAGTTGCTGCCGTAGTGATGGATGATTACCTGTGTCGATCTGGTGGCATACAGTAGATGTTCGACTTAAGGTAGCGTTGTGGCTGTCAAAAGATGGCCGAAACATGTCAAGGATGCTCAAAAGCTCACACTTCTGTTGTGGGTTTAGGTCTTCGTCGATTACACGGTTGAGAAAGTCGGCAGTGGAATGGCCATTCACGGAACTACAGGAGAGGGCGCTGGCTTCCAATTATCCATCAGGAACGTCAAGTGTAGCGATGGTTTCGAATGATTCGATTAAGCCGATACATTCGCCCCGAAGCAGCGTAATCGTGAATGGGAAAGGATTTCCCACAGGCACGTCGGTCGCACCACTTTGAAGAGTAACGAGAGCGGTGGGGAGCGGTAATGGGTGGTGACGAACGAAAGCAGCGGAAGGCGTGAAGAATGTGGTAGCATCGACGACGGTGGAACACGACACAGGTGCGAAGACAGTAGTGCGCGGAGGGATCCGAGTGTCGCCACTAATGACCAACTTCGCGTAGGAAGGGCGATCATCCGCAGGTAGAGCGTCACCAAGAAGACAAAAGACAACTTCGGCATGGGCACAATCAATGATGGCTTGGTGATGGGAGAGAGAATCCCTGCCTAAAATGATGTCGTGAGAACAGCGCGGGAGTACTACGCGTAAGGCACTCCTTGAGTTACAAGTCTGGTGGTGCACTCCGCCACAGGCTGCACAGGCTGTGCAGTGGCAGTATGAAGAAACGAGCCCAAGTAAGGCGTTGTCACTTTTAGTATTGCACGGCAAACGTTTTCGGAAATGACAGAAATGGCAGCACCAGCATCAATAAGGGCAAGTACAGGTACACCTTCAAGAACAGCATTAATCACATTCGGCGGCGAACGAAGAGGGCTTGTGCTCTGCGACGACGACGCAGTTCTTGCCTCGGGAACTGCATCATTTAGTTTTCCGCTTCGATTGTCGGGGGGTGTCTGCGCATCGGGGAGGGCGAGCGACGACGTGGAGTAGGAGATCGGCGATCAGAAGGTGGTCGTTGGCTTGGCCGAGAAGGGTGCAATTCGGGGTTTGAAGTGTGTGGAAACGTGTGGTCGTACTCATATGAACGCGGGTTTTCACGTGAATGGAGCGGGCGGCGGCGACAAAGACGTGTGACATGTCCGGGTAGACCACACGAAAAGCAGATCGGTTGGTTGTCGGTAGTGCACCATGGATTAGGCACTCGGTGGACTGGAGGTCGTGGTGGTGGGGTGGTATAAACAGGAGCAGGCAGTGGAGGCGGCGCTCGGAACGTGTGTGGTCGTGGTCATGCTGCTGCTTCGGCAAACGTCAATGGCGCATTGTCTGGTGGCACCAGCTATGGAGGAAGGGCCTCAGACACTTGGTCTTGTATAATAGTCCGCAGTGTAGGGCTAAGAGGTGCACTGCGCTCCGGTAGGCCGGAGATGAGCGACAGTTGGCGGGCAACTTATTCGCGTACAAAATCTTTTATCTGCGAGAGGAGGACGGAATCTTGAGAGAGAGTCAAGCCAGACATCGATTCCTGATGGGGGACAGCACAGCGGGTGACGAGAAGTTGCCGGCGGAGCTCATCATAGCTTTGGCAGAGCTCGGTAACTTGAGCGACAGTAGCCGGGCTTTTTGAAATGAGCATCGTGAATGCATCCTCATCGATACCCTTGAAAATTTGCTTGATGCGGTCCACCTCTGTCATGTTCGCATCGACGCGTTTGCACAAGTCAATGGCGTCTTCTATGTAACTGGTGAAATTCCCACCAGGCAGTTAAGATCTTGACTGAAGGCGCTGCTCCGCACAATGTTTGCGAACAGCAGGACGACCGAATACTTCAGTGAACTTTGTTTTGAATTCTGTCCAAGTTGGAACGTCAGTTTCATTGTTCCGAAGCCACAAGTGGGCAATGCCACTGAGCTAAATGCCGACGGTGGCCAGTCTCGTGGCTTCGTTTCAATTGTTTAGGACACTCACGAGTTCATAGGCAGCCAGCCAGTCATCGACGTCGTGATCGTCCGTGCGCTGAATATGGGAGGGTCCCGCTGACGGACCGCACCGGAGCACACAATGACCTGGGGAGCCATAGGCGGAGGGCTTGTGGCAGATGCAGTGGTCATAGCGGCCGGTCGAGTCCGGCTTCGTAACTCCAGGATTGCGAGGAGACCCAGCAAACTCCACCAAATATAATAAAAAACTGTGACAGTCGGAACTGTTATTTGAAACTAGGTAGAAGCGTAGGCCTAGCCAGCGAAAGCAGCGATAACGTCCAGCGCGAGAGTCTTGTGCTTAGCACTGACGATGTGTTTTCCGAGCGATGCATGACCCACTACATTCTTCATTACAATACCTTATTCTTCTGAGTACGTCATATATGGAGTGCTTTGCTGCATCTCTGATTGAATGACGTGATTATATATTATACCACATCAAGCATTGGAGGTAGGCATTTGTCGATTTGGTCATGTCTTCTTATTGAGTCGTGAGCTTGAGGGAACTTCCGGAGAGACTTTGCGGATATAGAGCTTGCCAAGCAGCGTTGAAGTCAACCTTTGGGCCAAGGCAGTTCGCTCACTAGGTGCATAAAACTTTGGGTGATGTAACCGGGGCCAGTGTGACTAAATAACGTCTTGGGTTAACCGGTGCCAGTGTGATGAAATATAGTCGTGTGCTATTCGATATCCATCTCATGCTCAAAAATTCTTCTTGGGTTTCGGTGAACTGTCTGCCAAATAGAAATTCCCTCTCACCTCTCGTAACAGGCATTCTGGGCCAAAGTTTTGTATGCGTTGTGACTACTAATCTAATGCGTGTTTGTTTTCCTTATTTAATGGTTTTCCTCTGCAGTACTTCCAATTAGTTATTTCACTTTCTATGCTCTGTCACTCAAGCCTCCGATGGCATAGTCTGGCTTAATCACATGTGCTGTTTTATTTATATGAATGAGGAAGCCGTATTTTTTCTGTCATCATTATAATATTGTGGCACGAAATTGGAACATACGTGTCAAATAATGGCGCTTTTGATGCACCCCTTGTACAGTGCTGTGTTTTGTGTAGTCATGCTACAAGTGTTTTGAACATACCACTGAGGTGCCCAATATGATGAATCGGGCTGCTCTATAGTACAGTGCTTTCTCCCCTCTACCGGATCACCACTTGTGATGCTGTGGTAAAGAAAGCTCTAAGCACTGAATAATGCATGTCAAAAGGTTAAAAAAGTTGTGCTATTTAGCTTGAATTTTGATTACAGCGCTTCACAAAGATATCACTTTAACCAGAACCACACAATTTAATAGCTGCGCTAGAACTGCAGGATCGCCCATTTAGCTAGCACTGGTCACTTTTCAGGAAGGATATCGCTCTGCACTTGAGAGCTGGTGATGCGCCGGACAAGGTCATTTTCACATTAGACGATGGTAAGTGGGGTCGCTTCTTGCTTTCGCTATTTGAGCACGTGACGGCGTCAGCGCAGTCGAAAGGGCAATGTCCTTTTCGAATGTGAGACTCCTATGCGAGGAGAAAATCAGCCAATAAACCATTGTATCGGGCCATTTGTTATGAATCCATCTTGATAGGAATCGCAGCCACTATTACACAGAACACACAACACAAGCGCTTGTGTTGTACGTTCTGTGTAATAGTGGCTATGCTTCCTACCAAGCTGAAAATCAGCCGTCAAGTACTTTCTTTTTCTCACTGCTGCGGAATGTTGAAGCCTGACCAACGCGATGCTTTTGGTTTCAACTTTAACATAATTATAAACGCGAAGCGAAAGCAGTAGCGGAAGCGAAAAATCGAAATAAAAAAGACATTCACTTAGATGCGTTATGGAACGCGTAAAGGAAGCAATCGGCAGTCTTTAAAATAACAGGCAGAGATGATATATTATGATATAAAGTGGGACTTGAATTACCGTTGCGCAAAGGGCATTAAAAATTAGCTGCCCTTTAACGAAAATATCTAACTACAGATAGAGGCAATTTATATCACTCGCAAAGGTTTTCACTGCGAAGGTTATTTCGAGATCACAACTATTTTTCGGTGTCGTAAATGACGCTGCTCCCACTGTCACTTGAGTTCGTAACTGCTGTCGAGGTAATAAGGAAAAAATATCAAAACAATAACACATTTATGGATAGATTGGATTAGAGTACGAGCCTTCAGCATGGCAGTCGTATAATAAACCAGAGAGTCAGGCCGGTCCTTCAGAGTACTTTGCAAAAATAAAAACAAAAATTCTTCATGTCGGGGAAGAAATTGCATCACCATATGAAATATAGCGTTTTATAACTGTAAAAAACGAACAGACGTATTGAGTGCGTCAATTGCATACTGAGTGCGAAATTTACACCAAAGCACTGCGAGCAACCCATTGCAAAGGGTCGTTAAATTCATTGCAAAGACTCGGTCAAAGCTAAAAAATCTTTTGAACTCACAAGAAAAGCTTAGCAATAGTTATTGAACGTCTTAAGACATATAAAAAATATTAGCCGCGTATCGGCGAGCTTCGCGGCTAATGTCGTCAAAAGACGATGGTCTTCCGCTGGCCAAGAGGCCATTTATATTTTTCCTTGACTCAAACAGTGCCTCTAAGTTGAATCGCCGAATCTGGCTGGTATTAATAAAATAGAGGAGGCGCTGCGTAATATACGTAGACCATCTGGCAATGTCATCGGGAAACATGAGCTTGTGCTAAACCTAGTGATACTGCCAGGTGGCTGCACCATATCATGAGCATAACGCTTTTTCATGGAGAGCATTGCACTTCAGCGTAGTGTAATAAACAGCATGGCCTTCAAAATTACATATTTATGTTTTTTCTAGTAAAGAAACATACTACTTAATACATGCGTATTGATCTAGCGATTCAGATATGCGTAATACTTGCTTTTTTATTGTCGATGTTCACAAGTATGAAGGCAGCAAGCAGTTAAAAAGGGCAGGGCGTTCCCGAAGTGCTTGAACTTTGGCTGGTAGCTGAATGGTGTGACAGACAGACAGACAGACAGACAGACAGACAGACAGACAGACAGACAGACAGACAGACAGACAGACAGACAGACAGACAGACAGACAGACAGACAGACAGACAGACAGACAGACAGACAGACAGACAGACAGACAGAGGTTTCCGCATTCAAGTATCCCAATGAAAACTATCGTCTTAAGAAGTGCACAGTTTCTATTTGTAATTGTTGGTGAAGGGAATGCCGCTTGTAAAGTCTTTGCCAATTTTTCCTAGGTAACACAACAAATACAGAACATAGTGTCTTAACTACTTGTAGTTGGTATCAGGTTTTTTGCGGTCACATGGCAAAGTGGATGCTTTCCTCAACAGAAAAAATTGCCAGATCCCACGTACAGAGTGAATCGATGATATGCGAAGCACGAATGAGGAATGTTGATATGTGACTTTAAAATCATCACAACATTACGAAGTAGAGGTAACTTATGCCGTACACGACATCCGTGTCATGATTATCATGTTTGGATGTGTTGTTTACCTTCGTCATCTATTCATATCACGAGATGGCAAATTTAGTGTATGTGAAGCTAGCAAAACGGCCGCGAGCACGCTATAAACGTAGTATTTCGTCATGTTCTTGCATGGCACGCGTGTCATGATTATCATGTTTGCACTGTCATCCTTTGACGTCACGTAATACCAAATTTTGTATATCTGGAGCTAGCAAAACGGCCGCGAGTTCATTCATTATGAAGGGCCCAATATAACCCAACGTGACGTGGACGCGCGCGCACGCGGGGTACAGCGATGATGCTATACGTTAGCAAAACGCGAGAACTCTATAGTCTCACGCCAGGCGCGACCGGCGCGACCAGCATCCATCGGCGCGGCCCGATGGCAACCGGCGAGAAATGCGACTTGCTGCGCTTCGCACCGATGCGTTACCCAGACAGCACTACGCCTGCCTCTTTTCGGGACAGAGGGAGACTGGACGCGCTGAAACACGCATGCGTCAAAGCCATGTAACGCGGCACGCGCGTACGAGTATACGGCAGGACCGGCACCTGGCGTGGCCACCCCAGCGTGACGCGACGAAACGAACGCCAGCGCGAATGCGCGCCGTGTCCCATCGAAGTGTATTGGCGCCTAGACTGTGGCATGTGGCCATGTTGTTTGTTACATAACATGCATCTCATGTTTATAATGTTTGCACCAGACTCACACCTTCGCCATCCATTCACGTCCTGCAATACCGAGTTTGGCACATGTGAAGCTAGCGAAACAGGCGCCAGCGCATTATTAGAGTGGCATGTAGTCATGTTGTTGCATGACACGCATCTCGTGATTATAAAGTTTGCACCAGTCACATACCTTCGCCATCCATTCACGTACCGTAATACCAAATTTTGTAAATGGGACGCTAGCGAAATGGCCGCGAGCGCATCATGAGCAAGACATGTAGTCATGTTGTTACATGACACGTATATCATAATTTTCATGTTAGGGTCTGTCGCTTCTGTTTGCCATGCAATCATGTCATACTGTACCAGTTTCGCAACATGTCATGTAAACGACACCATTACAAGAGCAGCAAGTCCAATAAATGTAAATCCGGACACTAATGACATACATGTGATGATTTTTATGTTACGACTAGTCAAATATGCTCATCAGTCATGTGATACCTTACCAAGTTTGGTAGTGATACCATTATACAAACGGCCAGGAGAGCTAAAAGTCATTGGTGGCAAGAATTATAGATAGATAGATAGATAGATAGATAGATAGATAGATAGATAGATAGATAGATAGATAGATAGATAGATAGATAGATAGATACGCTCAAAGTCGCCGAGGTTCACTAAGAAATGCTTCGCATTTGAAATGCGGATTTATAACGTAGTGTGTACCTCATAAGTGTGCTTGCAGTAATTACCAAAGGTTCGCAATAACACAGTAGGGGCAGGGCATCGTGGTAGGAATGTTGAATAATGACAGAACGTCAAGTCATTTATATGATCTAACTAGGGGATAGTTAAAAGCTTCCAGACCACCACAAAGGGCTCAGCCATGATTCTTCCAATAGTCAAGAGTTGTCGCAATAACAAACTGCGCCTAATGCCTTACTGATGTGTTGTGGCTGTCTAGCTTATCCGCAGAATCAGAAGATTGGTCGCACAGCAGGTGCCTCCCTACTTCAGGAAGATCATACGATTTATGATGTTTTTGGTTCCATGCGCGGGTACTTGTATTTGGCCCAACGTGTGGACCAGGGACTCCAGAAATTCTACTCTTTGAGCTCTCGCTGTGATTTTGTTGATCGTTTTACACAGAATTGTCATTGTGTTTTCTGTTTACAAAAGCCTCCATTCACCAAGTTGTCGAAATTTGTGAATTTCTGATGCAATGTGTATTTCAGGGTGCTCTAGGAGAAGAAAGTACCGCAAGAAAAAGGACTTCTGTTATGGATGCGTAGGAACATAATGAAGGAAGTCGTGCAATATGCTGATCCTGGAAATGGCTCAGTTTGCAGTCCCTCACATAATTTAGGAAATGTCTTTTGGCTTTCTTGCCTAACCACAATAATACCATATGCGATGGTTCATGAGCATAGGAACACAAAAAAATGCGATAATCAACGGCCAACTTCACCTTACGTTTGCGTTAGCAAACTTCAAGATCTGCTCGTTTCTACCATGTACTTCGCCTTACACCGAGAGTTCTGTATATAACTCAATAAAACGTTACAACATTTCATAGTTACCCAGCTTGTCCTTCGTAAAGCACGTCATGTAACACTCTTTGTTTGCAGACGCTGACAACTTCTACCCGGCCCACTTTGTGTACACGGACTACAGGTCATGCGTGATCGTGAATATAGACTACCAAGGAATGCGTAAGTTTCAAAAGATCTTAAAACTGTAAAACATAAGTTGTTTATTGTGTGAGAGAGAAAATTAGCGATATTGTTTGATTCTTTTCACCTCTGTCGTGAAATGCATTGCTATAATTCGAACTAACAGATAAAAAAGCCGAGGAAAATATAGGGCACTTCAGAGTTTCAAATATAATAGCGCCGTGTATATAATGTATACGCAATGCGACAGCCTCAATGCAGTTATGTATGCACAACTTGCGCCTTCGTATTTCGTTATGCTCTTCAAAATACGGATATGTGCTGTGAGTTCCTATTTTAGTTGTCGGGTGCTTTTTGCCCTTATTAACCGTATTCCTGCGCACTGAATGCGTACGATATTATGCGGCACGAACATTTATGTCGTCGGTGTTTCTTGAGCTGGCAAGTTCTGAATTTTGCTGCGGCATTTATCCCATCGCCCAGCCTTAGAAATGTTTTTTAAATCTTTATTCCACAACAAAAACAGAGAAAGCAATGCTCGTTTCACAACAGGAGCGTAAGAAACATCGCCTAAACATTAGCGGATGGCGAGGAATATAAGTGTTGCCTGAACGAATCAAAGAAAATCTTCAAATTTTCTGTGGTGACGGGTGCTGCATTGTCTTAATCTGCGTTGTCTCTATCGCTGGCTTCTATCGGTAATTTACATACACCGAAATTCTTAAGTGACGTGACTGTGGAATGACCACCTGGCAGTGCAATGGATGGTGATGATGATGATGAGTAGTTTTTAGTGGCGCAAGGGCCAATTGATGGCCAAAGAGCGCCATTTCAATTGACTACAGATATGAACAATGATATGGTGCGTGGCTGTAAAGGGGCCTTAAACTTCCTCGCTCTAACGCGGGTTATAACATGAAAGTAATAAAATCATGACAGTGGCGTGACATATGTGTGGTGATAGCTGATGGCAAAATGTCATGATAATAAAACCATGATGAAGATATAGTCACCGCAGCCACGACCACTCTATAGAGGTCGTGCTACGGATGACCTCGAAATATCGGGTGAAAGCTTTGCACTTCTTTTAAAAATGTAAAAAGTGTTTGTAGTTTAAAAAGCGGATCCCTACCGATGAGCATCCCAGGGTGTAGAGGGAGCTGCTGTCGGTAGGGCAGTAAAAAGTGCTTTTTTCTTAGAGCATCTAGCTCATTGCACTGGACGAGAATCTGGAGAACCGTAAGAGGCTCTCCACATCTCTCACAATATGGTGGATCACCGGTAGACAGAAGAAATGCTGATGTTTGATGTTTTATGGCGCAAGGGCCATTTCACGGCCAAAGAGCGCCAATTCATCTTACTAAAAAAAAACATGGACAATGATTGTGATAAGCGGCTGTATAAGGGCCATAAAATTCCTCGCGGTAAGGCGGGTAAAAACATACAAGTAATAAAATCATGACCATGTCGTGAAAGGTGTGTCCGGTGTGAATAGATGACAAAAGTTGGTGATAATAAAAGACGATGGTGGATATTTATGGCATTAGCACAAGTGCCTCACTCGTTCATACCCTTGCGTCCAAGGGCCGTGAGGCAAGTGCTTTCTTGTGTAACCACCGCAGCAAAAACCTCTCTGGAGAGGTCATGCTACGGGATGCCCGGGTGTATGATGTGACAACTATGAATTTCTTTAAAAAACGCTAACAATGATTTGTGATTAAAAAGCGGTTCCCTACCGACGAACATTGCAGGGTGTAAAGGTATATGTTGTCGGTAGGGTAATGGAAAGTGTTGTTTTCTTACAGTGTCCAATTGTTTGCACTCAATTAAAATGTGAAGAACTGTTAAAGCCTCACCACATTTATCACACAATGGTGGGTCACCACCGGATAAAAGATGTGTGTGTGTCGTGTATGTGTGCCCTATCCTGAGTCTTGTTAGTGTTACCTCTGTTAGACGTGATTTTGATACTGGTGGCCAATGGCCAAGGTGTGGCTTGATAACGTGTAGTTTGTTTTGTGTGTGTGTATCCCACTTGCTCTGCCAGTAGTCCCTGAGGTTTAGTTTTAGAGACGGGGCTTAAGATCAAGGGCCGCGATTGATATGGATGTAATGGCGGTGCTCTCATGGACGGATGCAGCGAGCTGATCCGCCCTCACGTTGCCTTGGATCTCACGGTGCCCTGGCACCCAGCACACTACAACATGTTGTTTGTGCGTGTAGAGTGTGCACAAAATGGAGTAAAGTGAGACAAGGACTGGGTTTTTTTGTTTTTTAAGACTGTGCAGAGCAGTTACCACACTGAGGGAGTCTGTATAAATTACTGCTTTTTGTATTTGTAATTGTTTGATGTGTTTAGCTGCCACCAGTATCGCGTAAGCTTCCGCTGTGAAGATACTTGTGCATGGATGTAGAGGGCCAGCATCCGAAAAGGATGGGCCGACAGCAGCGTAGGACACAGAGGAGTTAGTCTTGGAGGCATCTGTGAAGAACTCGGGACATGTGTATTTGTGTTGAAGTTCCAGAAAGTATGTTTGGATATGGGCAATAGGTGCATGTTTTGTAACCTCTAGGAAAGACACATCGCAGTCTATAGTCTGCCACTGCCACGGTGGCGGGTATGCTACAGGAGCCATTAAACTGTGTTCAAGTGACACTTCAGTTTCTTCAGCTAGACACTTCAGGCGAACTGAGAAGGGCTGCCTCATCGAAGGCCTGTTTTGAAACAGAGTTGAGCTCGACAAATCATTAATTGTAGAGTATGAGGGGTGCTTCTTGTCTGCTTTCACCTTAAGGAAATAAACAAAGGACATGTAAGTTCTCTGCAGATGAAGCGACCACTCATTTGACTCGACATAAAGGCTCTCTACGGGGCTGGTGCGAAAAGCACCCGTAGAAAGGCGGATGCCCAATTGGTGCACGGGGTCCAGCATCTTCAAGGCACTTTGAGTGGCAGACTGATAGACAACGGCCCCATAATCTAAGCGGGTACGAATAAGGCTTCTATAGAGGTTCATGAGGCATTGCCTATCACTACCCCACGTAGTACGTGACAACACTTTTATAACATTCATGGCTTTTAAACATTTTGTTTTTAAATACTTGATGTGCGGTACGAAGGTCAACTTGTTGTCCAAGATTAAGCCTAAGAATTTATGCTCGGCTTTGACGGACAGACGTTGCCCGTTCAGCCGAATGTCAGGTTCCGAGTGCATGCCTCTCTTTCGAGAGAACAAGACACACGTGCTTTTTTGTGGGTTAAGTCGAAATCCGTTTTCATCTGCCCATTTGGAGACCTTATTTAGACCCATCTGAACCTGCCGCTCACACAGGGCCAAGTTGCATGACTTGAAGCCAAGCTGAACGTCGTCGACATATGTACAATAGAACATCATGCGGGGAATGGACAAGTGCAAAGAATTCATTTTGATGATAAAAAGTGTGCAACTAAGCACACCACCTTGTGGCACGCCTGTTTCCTGGACAAATGTTTGGGAGAGCACACTGCCTAGACGGACACGAAATGTCCGGTTTGACAGGTAACTTTCGATTATATGAAACATTCTTCCGCGCACACCAAGGTGGGACAGGTCTCTTAGAATTCCGAAACGCCATGTTGTATCATACGCCTTTTCGATATCGAGGAACACAGAGAGAAATATTGTTTATGAACAAAGGCGTCTCTGATCTGTGCCTCGATACGAACGAGGTGGTCTGTGGTGGATCTACTTTCTCGAAACCCGCACTGAAATGGGTCGAGCAAATTGTTTGTTTCAAGGATATGTACAAGTCGACAGTTTATCATTTTTTCGAAGACTTTGCACAAGGAGCTTGTAAGTGCAATAGGTCTATAGCTTGAAGCTAAAGAAGGGTCCTTGCCCTCTTTCAAAATGGGAATAATAATAGCCTCTTTCCAGGAGGTAGGAATAGTGCCAGAAAACCAGATAGCATTGTATAAACAAAGTAAGGTTTTTCGTGTTTCGGCTGGTAGGTTTTTTAACATTTCATACACCACACGGTCAGAACCTGGGGCAGAAGTGCTGCAGGAGTTTAGAGATGTTCGGAGTTCAGCTAGACTGAAATCTTGGTTATATCCCTCGTATCTAGTGCATTTGTGTTCGAGTTTCTGTTTTTCTATTCTTGTTCTGTATTTTTGGAAAGTGTCAGTATAGTGTGATGAGCTGGATACCCGTTCAAAGTGTGCCCCGAGGAAGTTTGCCTGATCTTCCAAGGTTACGAGTGGAAGTGTGTGTACTTGTTTCCCTGCTATCCTACCGACCATGTTCCAGACTTTTGCCTCCTGTGTGTATGAATTGATCCCTGACAAAAAACTTCTGCCAGCTTTCTCTTCTGGCCTGCCGACGCGTTCTCCTTCCTTGAGACTTTATTTTCTTGAACGTGTCAAGATTTTCCGCTGTTGGCGAGTTGCGCAGCAATCTCCATGCCCTGTTCTGTTCCTTTCGTGCATTACGACACTCCGTGTTCCACCATGGGACGTGTCGTTTGCCGGGCATTCCAGATGTTTGCGGTATGCACCTGGCTGCTGCATCAGTTAGAAAAGCTGTGACGTACTTCACAGCTTCATCTATGTTTAACCTACATATGTCTGTCCAACTCAAACGTGTAGTGTTGTGGAACTGTTCTCAGTCTGCTTTGTTTATCAGCCATTTGGGAACATGTAGAGGACATTCATATGTTGTTTGTGAACTCAACACTACAGGAAAATGGTCACTTCCATATGGATTGTTTATGATTTTCCATTTCAATAGGGGTAGAAGTGAAGGTGATACGATGCTGAGGTCTATAGACGAGTAAGTTTTGTTGGCAACGTTATAGTAGGTTGGCTCTTTCCTATTCAACAAACAGGCGCCGGAAGAGAAGAGAAATTGTTCAATGAGACGACCTCGTGCATCACAGCGAGAATCGCCCCACAGTCCACTATGTGCATTTAGGTCCCCAAGAAGCAAATAAGGTTCAGGTAGTTGGTCTATTAAAGACTGAAATTCATGTCTTTCAAGACGGTGGTGGGGAGGTACATACAAAGAGCAGATGGTGACGAGTTTGTTTAAAAGTACCGCTCGAACAGCCACCGCCTCAAGAGATGTCTGGAGTGGTAAATGTGTACACGCTACTCCTTGGTTAATAATAATGGCTACGCCACCGGATGACGCCACAGCATCATCTCGGTCCTTTCGGTATATGACGTAAGCGCGTAAAAAATTTGTATTGGAGGATTTTAGGTGTGTTTCTTGTACACACAGCACTTGAGGTGAGTATTTGTATAAAAGCTCTTGTACGTCGTCGAGGTTCTTAAGCAGTCCTCTGACGTTCCAATGTATAATTTGTGTGTCCATATTGGAAGTAAAGTAGTGCTGTGTGTACGTTAAGGGAGTGACTTGTTTAAGCTGAAAGGTCAAGCTCAAGTACCAGGGCCATTGTCAGGCCCTGTTATGGGCTTTTTAGTTTTCTTGGTGCGCTCCAGAGAGCCGCGCCGTTCTTTTGGCACCAGGGGTGCCGCCGTATCCATTGCCTCCTCGGAGGCACTGGATGCTCGCTCATGCGAGCTGGTTTTTCGAAGGTTGGGCCTCGCCTGGCGGGGTGAGGCCTTGAGACCCGAGGATCCTGGAGTCCCTGGTCTCTGTTCAATAGTAGGCGGAGTAGCCTGAACTACTGCCGCCTTGGGGGCAGGTGCCACAGCCGTCGGCTCGCTCTGCGCTGGCCGAAGGAGTGGCGAGGGCTGGTGCGGCGTTGCCCCCTGACGCGCCGCATCAGCATATGTAGCGCCATAAAATGGCGACACTCTTCGTCTTGCTTCCTTGAATGTGATATTTTCTTTAATTTTCAATGTGATGATTTCCTTTTCTTTTTTCCAAAATGAGCAAGACCGTGAGTATCCGGCATGATTTCCACCACAGTTCACACAGTGTGATGGTTCTTCGCAATTGTCAGAATTGTGGCCTGACACTCCACATTGGGCACAAGTTTGGTGACCACGACAGCTTTGTGAGCCATGGCCATACTTCTGGCATTTGAAACAACGACGTGGGTTAGGTATGTATGGTCTGATCGACGTCTTTGTGTAGCCTGTTTGAATACTTTCTGGGAGATTACTGGAAGCGAACGTGAGTATTAGGTGTTTTGTTGGTGTTGCCTTGTTGTCTCTTCTAATGGTGATCCTTTGTACATTGGTCACATTCTGACTCTTCCACCCCTCCAGAAGTTCCTCTTCAGTCAAGCTGAGCAAATCAGCATCAGATACTACTCCACGGGTTGTATTAGTGGATCTGTGTGGTGTTACAGTGATGGGAGTGTCACCAAAAGTTGAAAGATTCTGTAGCTTTTCGAACTGTTCTTTTCCTCGGACTTCAAGGAGGAGGTCTCCGCTGGCCATTTTGGTAACTTTGTACCCGGCTCCAAGAGTTTTTGTGAGACATCTGGCTACTACAAAGGGTGATACGGTTCTGGCTTGCTTGCTGCTTATTTCACTATGTATAAAATGAAAATGGGGGAAGTTTTCACTTGATCGGTTGAAAAGGCCCAAGTCTTCGGTGCGTACACGCTTTAAGGCGGTACGATCACTTAATAGGGGAAATGCTTTATGCATGCCAGTTTAATTTTCTTCAGAAGCGTTGGCGGCCACTCACCACGGAGCCCAACAAGGGGACACTACAAGTTTGTGGATGCTAAAACCTGCAGACGCCAGCCGTACAACGCAACTATAACCCAATGCGCCTAGACCAAGGTAGGCTATTTGCACAGGGTTAACCCTCGCCGCCAGGAAGTTTGGAAGTAAACAGAAGAGAGTAGAAGACAGGACAGATAAACAGTAAGAGATAAAGACGAAGATGTAGGGAGAGAGAGATAGGAAAAGGCGACTGCCGATTTCCCCTGGGTGGGTCAGCCCAGGGGTGCAGTCTACGTGAAGCCGGGGCCAAAGGGGTGTGTTGCCTCTGCCAGGGGGCCTTAAAGGTCCAATCACCCAGCGTCGGCTCAACCCCCAGGATCCCCTTTTCCCCGGACACGGCAAAGCCACGCACGGCTAGGCGTGGGAGGGAGTAGAAACTCCCCCGTTAGCTCGGGTCCGTGGTGTCGCTACACACCAAACGCCTACTTGCGGAGGCGCCCCTGCGGGGGGCAGTGCAATGGGAAGTGCACCGGACACGTTATCGGGATGCTGTGGATTTGTACCCTGCGTAAGAGTGGTTTCTTTGCGAAATATTTACTACGCCTAACTAAGCGATCAGAAATCAAGCCCCATGAAACGCCAACTAAACAGGCCGCTTCATCGATTTCCGTTGTTTGGTTAATGCAATGACACAAGTTATTGGCGGGCACGGATACTGCGCGTTGCAAAATCATCTCGACTGCAGGGAGGCTATATATGGAATTCCGACTATAGCACTAATAGGTCTGGTACGCAGATGAATTTCTAGGTGCATCAATTTCCTGTAATCATTTCGTGATGATCATGTCCTTCTGTTTTCTCCTTTTCACTAACCAATATATTGAAACAAAATGCTCTTGTTGAGACCTTAAAAGGTGTAGGCTCTTTCGTAGCATCATGCCGAACTAACAATGTAATAAAGGCTGAATTACTAGAGACATTGAGAATCCCTTATTCAGACTGCGTAAAACGTGTGTAGTTTCACAAAGCTCTTCTTTTAGTTTTTCAATACGGTTGTCTAAACGCAATTATTGTGATTGATAGGTTCGCCTTTTCGCTAGGCGCGTGACGCGAGGAAGATGGAAACAACGCGGAACCGAAAAGGAAGCTGTATTCAACGAGAGGCACACATTACAAGTGCAGTAACTGGACGTCATGACAACCAGTTTGCCGGTATAACAAAAGAAATCGGCTTTTACTTTCTTACGGCTTGCGCTTCGTATAACAAAAGAAGCAGGCAGTCTCACAAGTCCGTGCAATTGCCCATTGCCTTAAGGTGGAACCCATTGCATGCTCCTGGTGCAGCGGTCACTTCGGTACACAGGTCAGCGTCCCACAGCAGAAGGCATTGGCAAGCCTATAGCGGTAGCCGCACACAATCAGCGAAGTGGGCACGCTGCGCGTGGTCAGCAGCTTCGGGATCTCGAGGACGCTCGCCATGCCTGAGATGTTCACAGGATTCTTCCTGTGTGGCAGAACTCGTGCCTGGTCACGCCCTGTTCCGAGGGCGTCAACGACTCGAAGACAGGAGCCCGGCCTTTTGAACCTCGCGTGTAGATGAGGGTACGCCCCAGGCTCTCCCACTTCGTATTGTCGGCGTTCCAATGGCTCCGTTCTCCGCGACCACCTTCTCTTTTTTTCTGACGCGGGACCTTTTAATGTTCCTTTATTTTCATCATCCTCTAGGGGATGCAGCGGTGTCGTCTGCTACACTCGCGTTTTTTTCAAGTTCCTGCATCAAAGAGATATAACAGAAAAAGTCAGTACTTTTTTTTTCTCTGTTTCACAACGCTATCTCGTTCGAACAACATGTCGTGAAACCAATTATTTTCTGCAACATGTTTCACCATTATACCCTCAAACTCGTTAAGTAAATGTAGTAATGTGAACAAATCAGTTATCAAATAAAGCCGTTACTGTATTCTTTTTTCATGTTCACAGAGTGTCAACTATGGGTTGCCGCAAAGTACAAGTACGATATCCCTCAGCATTGCCTGGAGCAACTAGAGGATATATGCGACGTTGCTGTGGAGGCGTATTTGCCAGAATTATGCAAAGATAACAAGGATAATTTGTAACTTGTTTTCAAGTGATTAAATGAAACTGGAAAACAGTGTCCTTAAGAGCACGTCGGAATAAAACATGCAACCTTGTTTTCGAGTGACTAAATGAAACTGGAAAAAGTGTACTTAAGAGAACCTCAAAATAAAACATGCTATGCCTACTTCCATACTATTTACAGTTTCGCCAGGCTTCCACATTTCAAAAACAGGAGAAAAGGGTATCCGACATGGCTATGAATGCTGGCGACCGAAGTTGGCAGTTCTTTGAAGCAAGGGTGAATTTTTAGAAATAGTTCATGCTTGTTTCCGTTGCACGGAAGCTAACAGTTGTAAAAAAAAAAATGGCAGCATATCCACGGAGTGAAGGACGGAGAGTGGGGTGAAGCATTCGTCCGTCCACTTCGTTCTTGCTTCCGTCTGTTAATGCGTCCGTCTGTGTGACCGTCCATGTGTCCATCCGCCCGTCCGTGCGTGCGTCTGTTCGTGCGTCCGTCCCTGCGTTCTTCCATGCATCCTCCCCTGCATCCTTTCATGCGTCCATCCATGCATCTGTCTGTGTGTACGTTCGTCTATCTATTCAACACTCGAAGTACCACCATCTCGCATCTTTTCATCATATATTGGATGGATGGGTGAATGGATGGATGGAAATGCCAGTACCCTTTAGATCGGGTGGTGGCTAGCGCCACGAAGCCGTAATATTTCATGAACCACAACCTAGATTTATTTTTCCCCTTAAATAGTGAGGTTGAGGATTCGTACTTTCCAGTGAAGGGTTTGATTTTCACTCGTGCCTTGACTTAAGCCACCAGTCAGATAAACTCCTTCTAGTTAACTCTACCCTCTTAAAGTCCATGTTGCCCTCCCTGTCCCTAAACCCCAGTGCTTTGAAAAACTCTGCGCCATCATCCTGAACTATAGAGTGAAGCCCTTTACAGAACATTACCAAGTGTTCGGCAGTGTCTTCTTCCTTTCCACACGCACTGCATACCGTGTCTACCCCGTTGTACTTGGCCCGATATGTCTTGGTTCGCAATACTCCTGTCCTGGCCTCAAAAAGTAGAGAACTACACCGAGTATTATCATAGATCCTTTCCTTGGCAATTTCCTGCTTGAAAGTTCACTAGATCTCTTGCGCGGATTTGTTAATCATGCCGATTCTCCACATATCGGTCTCAGCTTCTTTCACCTTCTTCTTAACCGATAATTCTTTTTGGTTTGCCCCCCTGCTGTTTTTGATGTAGTTGCCAGTCAATTTTCTGGTTCGCTTCCTCCATTTTATATCGACATTCTTCATGTACAAGTAGCTTAATACCTTCCTAGCCCAACGCTCCTCCCCCATTTCTCTCAATCGCTTCTCAAATTTTATCTTGCTGCTAGCTTCCCTGCCCTTGAATGATGTCCATCCCATATCACATTGTACTCTCTGATTTGGTGTATTCCCGTGAGCTCCTAAGGCAAGCCTACCTATTCCACGTTGCTTATCTTCTAATCTTGCTTGAACTTCTGATCTCATGCACAAGACCGATGCCGAACGTCAGACAAAGAACCATGACCCCTTTCCATATTCCCCTCACAACATCATACCTATTGTATTTTCACAGCGCCCAGTTTTTCATTAACGCTGCATTCCTGTTACCTTTAGTCGACACGTATATTTCGTGTTCCCTTAGGTACTCGGCCCCATTGCTTGTCCATACGCCCAGATATTTTTATTTATCTGTTATCTCTAGCGTGACCTCCTGTATTCTAAGCTCACTACATTCATTGTCATTAAAAATAATGAATACTGATTTTTGCTTACTGAATCTGAAATCTAACCTATCTCCCTCATTACTGCAGATGTCCACCAATCTCTGGAAATCTTCCTTGTTGTCGGCCATGAGCACTATATTATCTGCGTACATCAATGCTGGTAGTGCCTGTTCAATGAGTTTTCCTTTTTTGACAAAAGAGAGGCTGAAGCGCAGTCCACTTCCCTCTAATTTGGCCTCTAAGCCTTGTAGGTACGTCATGAATAGTAAAGGTGACAGGGCACACCCCTGCCTAAGCCTCCGTTTTACCTCTGCAGGCTTGGATACCTGTTTTTCCCACTTTATAATTACTTTGTTACCTTTAGAGATATCCTTTTAAAAGATTAGTGACTACATCTTCCACGCCTAGTGCGTCCAGTATTCCCCACAATTCCTCTAGAACCACGCTATCGTACGCTCCCTTGATATCCAAAAATGCTAGCCACAGGGGCCTGTGTTCTTGTTCTGCTATTTCGATGCACTGCGTCAGTGAGAACAGATTGTATTCCAAACTCCTGTGTTTCCGAAACCCATTCTGCAGTTTCCCCAGCACCCCCTCATCCTGTATTCCATGCCTGCAGTCTTTCCTTTATAATCTGCATTGCCAGCCTGTAGACCACTGATGTCACTGTTATAGGACGGTAGTTGTTTATGTCAGCTTTGTCCCCCTTTCCTTTATAGATCATGCTCATCCTGCAAGTTTACATCCATCGGGAACTTCTCCATCGATTATTATTTTGCTCACTGCCTCTCTCACAGCATGCTTAGACTTCAGACCTTAGGTCTTTATCAGCATAATTGGGATGCCATCTGGGCCTGTTGATGTACTACTTGGAACCCTTTTCTCGGCCCTTTCCCACTTTTGTTGTGAAAATGGAGCCATTGCACCACTTGATTCATCCTTGTCTATTGTGGTGCATAAAACACTTCTTTGTTGAAGTTTTTCTGTCACCCTTGTTCTTATATATTCAATAGCTTCGTCCCCTTCTAGCCTAGCACCTTGAGCTGTAGTTATGAACCTCTGCTCTAGGCTCGTCTCATTTCTTAGGGAGTTTAAATGGTTCCAAAATTTCGCAGCTGCATTTATATCTATGTTATGTACTTCTGCCAGCCACTGAGGTTCCTTTCTTCTAATCTTTTCATTGATCAGAAGGGATGCATCCCTTCTACAGCTTAGAAAGATTTCCAATTTTCTGTCAACATTATCTGTCAGTTCGATTGATTGATATGTGGGGTTTAACGTCCCGAAACCACCATATGACTATATCATCTGTCAGTTCACCCCGCCGGCTAGCATGTCTGTGTTTCCTAGAGGCTTCCTGACGTTTTGTTATGGCTATCTTAACTTCCTCATCCCACCAACTTTTGGGTTTGTGTCTTCTTTTCTGGGGTGGCTTGTCACGTGCCTTAGCAAGCTCTAGCTCAAACAGTATTATTATATTCGTGTATGTCCACACTGTTTTATTATCCTCAGTGATTACTATCTCAATTTGTTTAGTGGCTATTTCAATTTGTCTTTCCGAATAAAATTTTTTCTGTAGTTGCTCATCTTGTCTCCTTCCAACTTTCACTGCTGTTTTCAAAACTTAGCTTGATACGTTTGTGATCACTACTCAGACTTCTCGAGCCACCTTCATCTACGTGCATTCCCCTGAGCTTATCATACATCCTATGTGACATCAGTGCGTAATCTATCGTCGACTGTAGCCTTCCTACCTCCCATGTTATTTGCCATTTGCACTTCTCGGTACTGTTGCAAATGATCAAATCAAGCTTTTCACACATATCCATGATCATTTTGCCTGTCGGGTCGGTATACCCATCTATATCTTCTATGTGCGCATTCATGTCTCCTAGTATAATTATCTCGCACTCTCTTCCTAACTCCTGAAAGTCCTTTGATATACACTCTACCATTGTCTGGTTTTCCTCTCTGGCCTTTGCTCCCGTCCACAAGTACACGAAACCAAGGAGTGTCATTTGACCTGCCACTTTCCCTTTTAGCCATAAATGTTCCTTGCACTCCTGCTTGACCCTTTGCCAGTCTGTACTTTTATGAATGAATGCCCCAATACCAACCCCCTTTCGGCTGCCTTCTGTTCTATTACAATATTCCCACGCGTAGTCCGGATTGTTCGGAGGTTGTTCCATGTTCCTGAGATGTGTTTCTACAAAACCGTATACCATCGGCCTCTCTTCCCTTAGCTGTTCTTCTATCTCTTCCCACTTCAGCCTGTTCCTACCACCCTGCATGTTAATATACCCTATGTCTGAATTGGCTCGGCGCTCGTGGCTACGTCTATTTATGCCCCGGACTCTACCTATCTTAGACATTGGTGCCACTTTGGAATCGTATCTGTCCATAACACCTGTAGAAGAGTCTCCCTGGTTGTTTTCCTCGTTACTTGCTATGCTGCACCCCGAAGGGCTCGCTTGCCCCCCCAAAAAGCTACTGCGCTTCCTGCAAGTCGCCAACCCACCTTATTTATTTATTTATTTATTTATTTATAATACCCTCAGGGCCAAATGGCATTACAGAGGGGAGTGGATTACATTGAATAACACATGGTACATGGTGGGGAGGGAAAAATACAGCGTTAGTACGAATATAAGCAAAAGTCAGCGTACAAACAAAAATACATTAAATAGGTCCTGCGTATACAATGTTAGCTACGGTATCACGAAAAAGATGGTTGTCGTTAATAGCAACAATTTCAAGAGGAAGGTGGTTCCACTCGCGAGAAGAACGAGGCAGGAACGACTGCGCAGCTGTGTTAGTACGATAAGTGATAATTCAACCTTGTGACGGTGATCGACACGGTTGGAAAAATACTGGGGTTGCAAAATAAGTTCGTCGCGCAAGATGGGGTGGTGATACAATTTATGAAAAGTTGATAGGCGGGAAACTTTTCTTCGAAGTGACAGGGTAGGCAGGGACAGATTATTTTTCATTGCAGATATACTGGCAGTGCGATTGTAGTTCGATAATATGAAGCGTGTGGAATTATTCTGAACTAGCTCAAGCGATGTAATTTAATTAATGTGGCTGGGATCCCAAATCGAAAGCGCATATTCTAGTTTAGGTCGTATTAATGTTTTGTACAGGGCTAATTTCAATGAATATGGAGCTTTGGAAAAGTTACGGCGTAGGTACCGAAGCGTACGGTTAGCTTTGTTGATTATTTGTTCGACGTGCATTGCCCAAGAGAGATTGGATGTTATGTGGACGCCTAAGTACTTGTACGAGTTAGTAGATTCAAGACGTATGTCGTTTAAGTAGTAAGTAAATTGACTGCAAACACTGCGGGACACGCGCATGACTTTACATTTGTTTATGTTCAATTCCATTAACCATGTACGGAACCAGT